CTACCGCTTGAGCCACATCCCCAGCCCCCATGTTCAGCATTTTAAGTGAAGATAGTTTTTAATTCTAATAATTTCAAGGCTTCATATACAGTTTGGTTTTGGAATTAAAATTAAGCAAGGAATCTTAATTTAAGTGTTTCATTGCTTTAAGCACACAGCACAATTAAAAACGACTTAATTTTCCCTAGTATGTTATATGTTTCTTGTTAGTTTGTCTATATTGTTTTTAGGTTTGTTAGAATTATATAAAACTGGTAAAGGTTTGTAACTATCTCATGTATTTGAAGAAATAGATATATTTCATTTAAAATATAAGAAACAGATTGCAGAATCACATCGGTTACACATCCACGTTTTTGTATACGGGGTAAAAATGGGAGTTCATAACCCACTTGAATCAAATGTATGAAATATGATATGTCAAGAGCTATGTAAAAAAATAAATAAAATACAAGAAACATGCTCATCACATTTTTTATTAAAATACCCCAAAGTTGCATATGTTAAAAGTAAGCATAACCATTATTAATTCTACATACATTGCAGGGCATGACTTTTCTCACTATTGATTTCTCAAAGCTATCATTTTTGTTAATCCTTGCCCTCTTTCACACTCTATGGTTACTAATAGTGGGTAGGTATGACCCTCACGTTGAAGGAATGAGCTAGAATCTTAATATTATATTTCTTTCAGTGGTTTAGGAGTGGGATTAATGATACCATGATGGAATTTGATTACTTACCACATTTTACTGATGGTTCTGATGCAAGACTAATGTCCTTAAGGATGGTAAACAACATAAAACACCTTGCCTAACTTAAAATATATCTGTTGACTCTTTATTCTGTAAGCCATTATATGGTCATTTATTTATCCATTCAAACTTATGGAACATCACTTCAGTGTTATCCATGTGTTAGGTAATAGGCTAAGGAGCTATTCAAGGAATCAAACAGGATCCTTGTTCTCATGAAAAAAGTATAAATTTGAATCCAAGTGCAGAATGGCTCCAGTAAAAATTTAATAAACAGTAAGTAAAAAAACTATCAGCCCCAATAAAGATCTAATATAATATCAATCAAAAATCATCTTCTCATGGATCATGAATTTAAATACCTAACAGGATGGATGGATATCTGTTTGTATGTGTGTATGTATATATACTACACACATAGATACATAATAGAGAATGAAAAGAGGTTCTAAATATTTTTTAAGAAATCACACAACCTTCCTAGGTTATCTTTTATTTTCAACTTTCTAATAGAGATATAGAAAGTGAGGAGCATTTCTCTCCTATGAATAATGCCAACAGCACAATGACAACTAGCAACCCAAACTTAGCTTGAGTGTCAAGAAGAGGAGGTGGTGAAGGTTGTGGCTTGCCTGAGAGCATGTGCCACCAACCAAGGTCACTACTAGAAACATGGAGGATGTGTTGCTAGATATTCCAATTATTTGGAAAAGGATTTTCAAGTGTGGATTTTAGGGGGAAAGTTCCAGATTTCACAGTGCTGGCTTAGATTTAAAAACAAACATAAACTCTAAAGTTTCCAAACTCCTTGGCAGATCAGATTGGGTCTGTGATTTCTAAACAGTTTGCAGAAATCCCATGGGACAGATGGAGTAGATTTGGCTGATGTTTTCAAATTTTATTTTATAGGTGTAATCCAAAGAAATTGGGCAACTTGCCTGATGTCACACAGTAATTACTGATCCAACCAGATAAGAAAGCAAATCAACTAAATCTTTATCCAAAAACTTATGAAGGCGTGAATAATAATAATTAATTGCTGTTTCATTTCATGGTTTAAAAAACACTTTCACAGATATTTTAATGCCAGTTTAATCTTAGTACATGATTGTGGGGAATGGAAAGAGAGTGACTCCTCCTTATCTGCCCCCCAACCTGAACTGCCCTCAAATATGCATTTTTTGAATTATTTTACTATGATTAGTCAATTCAAATATGTAGGTTCCATCATTTCTAATACATTTTAAATTTCCATCATTTCCAATACAGCTAATTTAATAACTAATAATATCACTTTGTCTCATAGCTTGATCATCTAACCCATTCATTCTATGCTAAACACAGGGTCTACTTCAGTTCTAAATGTTCAAATCGCTTTAACATTTAAGCTTAATGAAAATAAGTGAAAAAACCCCTATTGTCCTTAACACTTAAATGTTAGCCTATACTTATTTATAGGCTCTTTATTTTACTGTCTGTTCCTGTTCACATTATATTTTTAATACAGTACTTTTCACCAATACTTCCTAACTGTTTTCATGATTTAGACATCCTACTCCTATTTTCCTATATTTAAAAACATTTATTATTTTTCATTTTTAAACATATATTAACTTTATACATTAATTAGTTTCAGTGTGATATTTCCACACATAAATATAGTGTGCATTGGTCCAACCAACCTCCCTTTGTTCACCCTTCTTTAATTTTTAAATTTATCCCCTTTGTTCCGTATAAACTTGAACTATTCAATCTCAGTCACCAGGTTTATGTACCTATTTAAATTTAGATTAACTAAAATAAACAATACAGTTCCTCTGTCACACACACTAGACACATTTAAAATAACCAATAGCAACTCACTGCTAGTATTAGCCAGTGCAGACAGGGGACATTTTTATTATCACAGAAAATTTTAGTGGACTCTGGTCTAATTAGTGGAATGTGGACTAATGCATTATCTATTGTTCCTTAAACACATGCTCTTTTTCTTCTTTCTCAGCTTCATAAAGGAATTTTTACCCACATATTGTTATTGCATTTATTTAAATTATGATTATAACTAYGCTCCATCTTTTGCTGTTATATAGAGATTGAAATTATAGTGATTTAAGTCATAATACATATCATAAATGAGTAACAGTATTAGATCAACAGGAGAAATACAATCTTAACATATTTAATGTGTTTTTTAAATATACTTTCACATTTATTATGTCTTTATTCATTAGTCTACATATCTTCATTTATAGAACTTAATGGCAATTTTAATCACTAAAAGGAGAAATAAGAAAAATAATGWCTGCATTGATGGATGATTGTGAATGTCTTTTTTAAAGCAATAAATATGCATGATTAATTTACAAATAAAAGGCTTTAACATTTAAGCCTAATGAAAATAAGTGAAAAAATCCATATTGTCCTTAACACTTAATTGCTCAGTGGGAGTCAAAGGCTACAGACKTTTGTAAACCTTTCAACACAGGATTAAGAATTACTCATAGCACTCACGTCTCATAGAGATTTAGGAAACTGCTTTAATATCCTGCCTGTACCTGGGCATAAAGGAAGCTTCTCATAAAATATAACTTCCTGTAGGCTTTTTTAAAGATAAAATTATATTTAATGGACAGAAAACTCATTTTGGCAAAAGTGAACTATAATTTCACACACTGGGAAAAGAATTTGAAATACTGGCTTTCCTTTCCAAGAAACAGGTTTTTTTTTTGGCTGGGGGCATAGTTCAAGGGGAAAGTGTGTGTTTCCCATGCAGGAGGACCTGGGTTGGATCCTTAGCAGCAAAAATAGTTTTTTAAAAAAATTATTTTAAATCATACTTTTAAAAAATCTCTAGTTCTTTCAGAACAGTCTTTACAAAAAAATGAACTTAAAACAAAAAAAGTTGAAAAAATACCATAGAACAATTAATTMATGAGTCAGAGAATCAAACAAAGGAAAACAAACATTATGAAAATATGATAAATCATAGTTCATGGTTTCAGGGACTTCCTGTCATACCCCAAGGGACTGTATGAAATTCAGTTTTACATCCACTCATTGATTATAATGAATCAAGTGAAAATACATACTAGTGGGTCACAGAGGGACTGATGGAGTACTTGCCAGCTTAACGGGTATAGAGTGGCTTAGAGATGCCTTTATGTGGCCACACCACTTCTGTGTAAATGTCAATCTACTTAATCATCTMCGCATGGCACAGGCAGAAGCTTTTTATTCTCACTTAATACTTACTGTAGAGTAAAGAGAAGAAGTGCTGGAAACCAATGAYAACGAAGAGCCATGAACTAGAGAAAACAAGAACAACAGAATTAAAATACTCATGTCTACTCATAAACCCTAGGCCTTAACTAAAAAAGTAAAGAACAGGTGGCTAGGGAAATAACATTAACAGCTAGATAGCTGTAAGATTCTGAGAATAAGTTTGTATATGATTTGGATCTAAAATATTCCCCTATGAGTTTGTATGTTAGGCAATATAATACTCCTCAGAGATGAAAAAATGAGATTATGAGAGCTATAATTTTCAGTAGATTAAGCCCCTTAGGGCATTACTAATCTGAATGGACCACTGGGTGGTAATTGTAGGCAAGTAGGGCTTGGTTGGAGGAAGTAGGTCACTGAGGACATGACCTTGGACTATATCTGTCTCTGGCTCCTTCCTGCYCCACACTCTGCTTCCTGGCTGTCATGATCTGAGAAGCTTTCCTCCATCATGCCCTTCTGCTTGCCTTAGGTTCAGAGCAATGGGGTTGGCTGATTATGGACTGAATCTTTGAAACTGTGAGCCCATAAGTTATTGTCAGGCAGTTTGGTCACAGTGTGAAAAACGGACCAACATAGTCTGTAATGATTTTTTGGAGATCAAGATGTTGAGACATGAAAAGATCCCATACTCTTCCGTAAAGTATCTCATTCACCAATTTATAGATASAAGTTGACAAGCTTGAGCATTAAAAGCATGTTTTATACAATATGAAAAGTATAAATTCTCATATAGTAAATAGAAAATCATAAAACTAAAAAAAATTTCATAAGCTTTTAAAATTTTTAAAAATACTTTGTGTTTATTCATTTAATTTCATTTTATCCAACAGAGATCCATTTTCAGAAATTTTCTTTATATACTTTCAGGTATATAAGCATTTTTTTTCCAAGTAGCTATTTCAATAATCAGTTATAATAAATTGATCTATGTTTTTTAAATTTAGAAGAATGGTTTCTTTAAAAATTTTMGTTATATATAAATACTTCTTATTTTAAGTTGGTATCTCATAAAAAATAAGAATGGAAATTATTTGCTGTTTTTTATTTATCAAAATGCCATCTTAAACAATCAAAATCTACTTTTGTCTTTTGTACTTCCAATGTATTAAATCCAAAAGGTGGATAAAATTGAACTTAATATGATTTGCAAAAATCCCCTTTTTTATGATGGGATAATGTAGTTATTTCTTCTAACTTATTTCTTAAATAAACATTAGTTGAGCACACACAGTGTGACAGGCCCTTGCTAGATCTTGGGACTACAAAATGAATACGAAACAATGATAGGTGCCCCAAGAGAATTAGAAAGAAAACATTAAAAATAATCACAACAGAGCAACATAAGTGTTATTACTATCAATGCTTTGGTACTATAAGAATTCATAGGAAGTGAATTAAAAATATATAAGTGAGTCAAAAGAAGAATAAAGAACACCACCAGAATTCTAACTTGGGTAATATTATCATTCTATGAGATATACAAAATATTAATCTTTAAATCAATTATTCTTTTTCAAAGCACATTCTTTCAACTTCTGATTCATTTACATGACTCATTTACAAACTAAGAGTACTGGCCTGGTGTATCAGAAGGAAGATGGACAATGAGTTAGGAAATTATGCACATATTATTTATAGGCATGTGACCTTTATAGTTTATAGCTTAGTCTCTTCATCTGTTAGCATGCACACTGGGCAAGATGTCAATAAAAACTTCTCTTCTAGTTCAATAATTCATTAATTCTAGATCACAATCAAATAATAATAATAGTTCAGTGTCCAGTGCATGAGTTTCAAAAATCCATCTCACCTACTCAAGCAGGCTTTTAGCAATTCAATTAAGCTTCCTAATGCAAGGCTGGAATTTCCCAGCATAAAAACATCATTCCATTTGTAAGTGAGGCACTCTAGGACATAAACTGTATGCTAAGCAAATTGTTTTTAAAGTATTATGAAAGGTCTATGTGTGAGAGAATGACATATCAATTTCAGAGAAATAATGCCCTTACAGGTCAGATTACTTATAGTTCGTCTACTACACAATGGAATCAGCTGATTCACCAGGGTTTATATAATTCACTGTTTGCCACAGTGAACTCAGTAGTTTGGTTAATATCCTAAAAGGTAGATGTAAATATTGTAAATATTATTAACTGATTTAGTGCCAGCATATTAAATGTACAATGATGACCTGAAAAATATAAGACAATTCTCTTAACTGCCTAAAACTTTAGTCAGAAGATGTTTTAAGTAAGAAATTCCCTGGGACAGAATTACAGAAGCAGAAATTAGGACTAATGAAGTTAAGAAACTTGCCCAAATTCAAACAGTAAATAAATTGATGGTTAGATGTTTAAACCTTGCTATGTTTCGAGACTGAAGTTTTCCTTTTATGCGTAACTATTAAGATGAGGATGGTTGCTTTCATTCTAATCAGTTTGGATTTCTATATTTGGTTTTCTGTTAACCATAGCTGATATAATATGTATCTCACATGTTTCATTTATAGATAATTTGAAAATCATTCATTAAATAAAAGAAACACATCTCTCATATTATTAAGTTTGGTTTTTGAGGTCATACAGTTTAGGAAAATATATACACTGAAATAGCTATTATGCTTACTGAGTTTTAAAAGATTTACAGGGAGCATCACATAAWACATACAGCTAAAAAGACATGTTTTAGGATAGTGTGAATTTTATTGCCAATTGGTAAAAGAAAAAGAAGTGATATCAAGCGAATAAAGTACAGTAGGAATTCTAAAATGAAATGGTAAAATACTAACACCAGAGGAAGTTTATGAGAATAAAAGTTAACAACATGTGATAGTCTGTAAGATAATTATTCTGGCTTGTGTATCTTTATGGCTTGTAAACTGAGATGTCAAATAAAACATTTGCTCTAATATTTGACAATCTGGGTAACAGTCTCTAAAATTTTGCATATTTCTATAAGAGAACATTGGATTTATTGTAAATTGTTCTACAGCCAAGTATTAATCTAAACAAATTCTGGCATATATCTAAATTCATAATGTAGAGAGAAGATCCTGTAGAATAAAACTTTCAGCTCTAGGTTTTAAGTGAGGATTCCACTTACTCATTTACTTCTTCAGGAATCTTTGTGCTGTGGGCAATGGGACAGTTTTTCTCTAACAGTTAAGTAAAAGTCTTATCTTCATCTTCCCTATCCCTAAGCTTACCTTCTTCCATGCTGTCTCTGAATGATCCTGAATGACTGATGGCCCGTGGCCTTTCCTCCAGAGAAGTGGCGCTCCCACAAAGCTGGGAGTCATCATAGAGATCAAAGGAAGAGTCCTGGGCTGGGATGCTGTTGGAGCGCATCATGCTGGGCCCAGGAAGGTTAAACTGAGACAGATTGGTTGGACTCACTGAAAAAGAAAGCATATACAGACTATTACTCCAGGGCTTGAATGATGAAAATAGAAAGTTGAAAAAAAAGTGAGAATTCATCCCAATTCTTAGAGAAACAGGAATTTATAGGGTGTTCCTATTAAAGCAGGCCAAGAGTCTGTCTCTGAATTGCCAATCACTATCACCAGAGTCCCTCTTTTCCTCTGGAAATTTTATGGCAAGCAGTATGTTAGTTTGTCAGGCAACAGTAAACAAAACCACCAACTCACCTCTACTGTCCACACTAGAAATACAGTAACATGTTATTTTCTGCACACGGTTATGAAAAAAAAGATTGTTTTTCTATAGTCTACAGGATTCATTTTAGAGAAAAACCACCAATTTACTGGGAAAAACAAAATAGAAAAGAAAGTAAAATATAAAAAAATATAAATTTACCAAGAAGAAATTTTAGATACTTCTAGGCAAAGGCTTTCTTTCAGTCATTCTGAGTTATGAATTTATGTAAGTTCATGGTTGGTACTTCCATTATTATGAAAATTAGGTTATAAAGAGGATGAATAAAATAAACTTTTCCTTTATATGAAATACAATGTAATGTACATGGTATCTTTAAACCTGTCATAATGTGAATCATAGAAAAACTATTTTCTACTGAGTCTAAGAAGAGAATACCACAATGAGACTCTCAAAAATCACAAATAGATTTTGTTTCCAAGGAAGTATCTTAAGTCTGTAATGTAAGAAGTTTATTTCTTATAAATAAGAATTTATTTTCAATAGAAAATGTTTATTTAAGAATTTATTTTCAATGGCCTGTTGCCATCTGGTGCTAGTGGTTTTCAACAATTTAGGCCAAATGAGAATCATTAATTTAAAGAAAGATGTGATTGATTTAATGTATGGGACATTTGAAATACATGGAATAAAATTATAGCAGACAAATTGAGAAACTTTTTTTAAAGAAAAGCAAGTTTATTACTGATATATGAGGAAACTTCTGAATTTCTTAAGCTATGAAGAAAACAGCTGAGTCCTCTCAGAACCTTGGAAAATGCATGCGAAAGCCTTGGAGTTGATGTGGTATTTCAGAACTTCCTATATTTTCTTCTYTCATGCAGGCTTTACACTTCTTAATATAATTAATGGCTCTCACAATAAGGTAAAATTGGAAGAGTGTACCCAGAAGTAATTCAAGGGGTATACCTCCTGTTTTCCAGGTACTGTGCTTGACATTTCAGTCATTAACCGAATCATCACACAGACCAACCCTCTGATAGAGATAGTGTGAATTAAAGTAAAAGAAAACACAGGACTATGAATGAAATCTATGTATGCATGTGAAAAACATAATAAAGAAGAAACYATGGATTTCTAAAATTTATAATATATTTGAAGGAAGAAGGAATGGAAATGGAGAAGGAGGGAGGTTGAGGGAGAGAGAGGAAGAGAAAGAACAAGAGAACAGACCTATTTTCAGGTATATTCCTTTAGACATGAGTTCTAGTTCAGTATGGTCACAGTTAACAGGTACTAGGACATTCAAAATTTGAATGTTAACTTTTTTTTTTTTTTGGCAGGGTGGTGTACCCGGGATTGAACTCAGGGGTACTCGACCACTGAGCCACATCCCCAGCCTATTTTTGTATTTTATTTAGAGACAGAGTCTCACTGAGTTGCACAGTGCCTCACCATTGCTGAGGCTGGCTTTGAACTCAAGATCCTCCTGTCTCAGCTTCCGGAGTTACTGGGATGAATGTTAATGTTTAAGGTACCTGGATTTGTGTAAATCACTCTATGGTGGGACTACATACATTATGAATTAATGCTTGTGAAATGAATGCTTTCAATTTATCTACAAATGCATTACTTTAATATATGTATCTAGAGGCTAGAAGGCCATTTTGTTCACAGTTTGGCTTTGCATAATTGTTACCAAAATGATTACAGAGGTATCCAAGAGAAGTGTCTTCCTTTTCTTTCTTTCTTTCTTTTTTTTTTTTTTACATGATGGTTTTTATTCTGAAGACATGCTATTTTTGAGAATTTTTCTATTACTGATTTTTCATTAATGCATATTAATTACACAGAATGGTGGGTTTCATTCACACATGCAAATAGCATTTTGAGCATTTCATCCCCATTACCCATCTTAATGTCCCTCCTTCCCCATTCCATTCCTCTCCACTAATTCTCTTCCTCCTATATTCATCTTGTTTTTTCCCCTCCAAATTCTACATGAGAGGAAACTTGTGATAGCTTGTCTTTCTGGTTTGGGCTTATTTCACCTAACATGATCATCTCTAGTTCCATCCATTTTCCATCAAATGACTGACTCCATTGTATATATGGACCATATTTCTTTATCCATTCATTTATTGGTGGACACAGGTTTCCATAACTTGGCAGCATGGATGTTCAGCTACCTCTATGGTATGCTGACTTTATTTCTATATCAAGGTAGATATATAGCTTGGATCATTTCATATATCTGGATCATTTCAAAACCTAATGCATTACTCATTCAAAGTGACTCATTAATGGGGCTTATAATGGGCTTTAAATGGCATAATTGAATTTACAAAGACTTTTGATAATGTTTCTACTGGAAATATAGTATTTAAGAATATTCATTTAAGGTAATATCATGGGAAGCCCTTCTTTATTTTGTTTTCATGCTAAATTTGAATAGAAAGATAAAATATGATATGGTCCCTGATTTCAAGAGTAGCCACTAGGGAAGGTGATTGAAAGGTAGAAAGTTTCTATGCAAAATATACCAAGAAGAGTTACATAACAGAAGGCAAAAGTAACAAAGACAAAGAGAATTTTTGTAAATTGGACAGAAAATGGTAAAGGAGTTGTAGTTGTTATACTTTCTATCCACTTCAAATATCCCCATCTCAACCTTTCAGTTTCTTCATTAATAAATAAATAAAATAAAGGTAGAATAAGTGGCTTCTAAGATTCATTCAAAGCCAGAAGACACATAAAACTTCCCAAATAGGAGAAAAATAGATGTAGATGTATGTAAGGGAAAAGAAGTCTACTGGCCTGTCTTAAATTGAATGTGTAGTCATAGTTTTTATTAAAATTATGTATTTATTTGTGCTGATTTGTGGAGAACAGGGACAGAAAATACCTCCAAGTACCTTTGCTAGACATTTACCAATGAGTTTTTGATATTGTTTTAAATGAGAAAAGTGATGTCATATGGATTATAATTTTAACTTAGTTTGTGAAATCTGGATATACAACTAGGACCAGTAATTGAAGATTCAGAAAATTTTTTATGTGATCTTTWAAAGTAAGTATATAAAAAATATTTCTAGATTCACACAGTTTCTGTCATTGGTGAGTTTAGAGCAAAAACTAGAGATGTCATGAAAATGTACATATTAAATGAATGACTGAACCAGATATGTRTCTCAATGGTGAGCTTCTGTACTTCCATAAATATAGAAGAAACAGTTCATTTGGAATGGGGTGAAGGGCATTTTCGGAGAGGGTAACAGAGGAGTGTTATAAGGTGAAGTGACCCTTGAGAGCAAAAGCACAGAATCTGCTCCGATACAAGGTGCTTAACAATTACTCTGTGTGCAAAGAAATCATCTAATATATAGAACTGGGAAGTGACAGGCTGATGTCAATGTTTCTGCATGGTAACTCTTGCAGCAASGTGAGCAATGAATCTAAGCAATTCTCATCATTCATGGGCACGTCACCATTCATCAGGTTATGAGATACCTCATAATAACTGTGAACAATTCAAAATGCTGTTTCATCCCCAGACTTATTTTGTTTACATAAGTTATATTCTGATATTACTTCTTGAGTGGAAGTAGATGCTRTTAAACTTAGCATGTAAGGAACTACACACAAACCATAGTTTACTTTAAYTGTAGCTCATAGTAATCTACTGACAATGACATAAATTCAGTGTTCTTAAATTTCTAATATTTGTTATACATGATTTTATAGTAATATTTATAAACACTTTTATATACTAACACGTTTTTCAAAATAAGARTATTTCAACTCTTGAATGTTAGTTATAATCATGTATATTACAGATCATTCAGAAAAGATAATGATCTCACTGAAAACAGGTGATATCCAAAGTAGCTGCAGGAAATACTATACCTATTCAAGTTAAATTTTATGTAGTTTTAAGAATTTAATAATAAAGTAACTTTAATTTATGGTTACATTTTAATAGTAACCCATATTTTTGCCAAATAAATAGAAGTTCAGGTGATCTGGAAATATCATCAAAACTTGTTATTTTCAGGTTTTGAGAATTAGTTTTTTTTTTCTTTGTAATTTGCCAGCATAGAGAACAGGGAATACCTAATCTGAATGTGAATAAGCCCTGGGGAATGCATTGACATGGATAGGAAGGTCTTCCTCCATATATCTCAATGAGTGAAAATGTTGAGGGATAGGAGAGAAGAGGCAGTGAGATCATTTTGAAATCCACTGAAACTGTCCATAGTTAGTTTCAGCAAGAGTAATGCCACCAAAGAGAGAGGAATACAGTACTTTTAAATTTTTAAAAATAAATATAAGTTTTGGTCAAGTGTACAATATGAAGGGTGGATGGTGTTGTTTTGAATAAACCTGTCCTTTACACTGAGATTTTTGCACTAAAGGAGTTGAAGAAGCGTGAAAAATAGAGAGCTTACGGCAGGTTGGATATAGCTACATAGCCTAGGACATGGATGCGGTTTAATTTTAAAGCTCAAAAAGATTTGGAAGTGAAAGAAATGTTGATTAAAAGGGTAAAAATTAAAGTTGTGGATGAGGACATAGAAATTGTGTTTAGGATGAGAAAGATGTCTAAATAAAAAACTCTGTGATTACATAAAAACGAGGAGTAAATGTGGATGAAGTACATTGGGCAGGATTTATGCTTAAAGCCTGGAACAATGATTAACATAGTCGTTTTCACTTTCAAAAGTGACCTAGTTTTTACTAAAATGATAAAACCGMATTAAGATGAGCCCTTGCAGAAAAATAATTGTAGCTGGAAAAGTATTAGGAGAATCAAGAAGGTAGGCTTGGTTTCTACAGCAATAAAAAATAAGGGACATATTTGATAAGTAGTTTTCAAAATAAGGCATTAAAGTTCTATCAAAAGGGCCTGTTATCAGTAGAAGTATAATTTACATTTCATATTGTGCTTTAAATCTTTGAACACTATGTAATGAAAAGTATTCTYAAGTGTGACATACATCATTTTTTATCACATTTGTTTAAAAATATTGGCTTTAGCTGATATGTTAAGTTCAATTTGGAATAAACTTATCTCTGTGCAAATATTTGACATTTTTGGTAAGAAATTGATTCAAATGTCATAGTTGTACATGAGTCTCTCTAAAACCTAAACTGTGAATCTCCTTCACATTAAATCCTGCAGTTGCTATTTTGTGAATTATACCTAATTAARTGTAGACAAAGTTCAGGTATATATTGTAAGGTTTTTTATTTCTTTAGAAAATAATAGAAGAAATGAATTTAATAATAATAATAATGGGGAAGATGATGTACAGTCAACTAATCAAACTAATGTTAATCAATGAAAAAGTTGATAGGGGATATAAGGTACTAATTAGTCTACAGCATTTGGGTTGATATGGGATTGTTTTAGATATTCCATGAAATTAGATTTTGTTTCATATTTTGAGGTCCCAAAATATTGAAAAATATTTTTCAATTAATTTTTTAGAGTTAACATGTTAGGTTTTTGTATGTTTTTTTACATTTGCTATGTTTTATAAATATTTTGTGAATTATACCTAATTAAATGTAGACAAAGTTCATAATGATTCGAATGTTTTGACAGTATAAGGCAAAAAATAAAAATAAAAAAGTAAATAGTCTCATTGCTGTGTAGATTTAGCAACCAAAACTTGGTGTTGTTAAGAATTCATTAGCTCAAATGAAATCAATACCAAAATAATTTCTTTAATTGTTAAAAAATACATATTTGGTATAGTGGGAAAAATTAGAAATGAAACAGGCTTTAGTTCTGACTGGACTGAAAAGTTGAAAAGTCAAAATTATTGAAGAATGTGGACTATGTACGTGGACATGATTAGAAAATWTTTTTTTCAATTGAAAAGAGAACAAACAGTGTGACTACTTAATATTCAACTTTGTAAAAGAAGTACATTTTTAAAGTCACTGGATCTATTAAATGATAACTGGCATTATTTCAATAATTTGTTTTTGTCACTCTTTCCTGTGTTTTCTATGATGTCTTTGCAAGCTGAACTTCAAAAATGTTCATAGAAGTTATCTTTCAGTCATGTGATTATATATTTTTTTCTCTTTAATTATTTCTATTTTTCTATTTCTCCATAAAACTATTATCTTTTTATAAGGATTTTTAACATTTTAAACAAAAATAAGGAGATACTTTAATAATGGTTTTAAAGAGGATTCTAAGACTTAATGGAAAGGTTCTTGGGTTTGAGACCAGGTTCTGAAATATTTTTTTGTGTGTATGTGTGTGTGTGTGTGGTGCTGGGAATTGAACCCAGGGCCTTGTGCATGCAAGAAAAGCATTCTACCACCTGAGCTATATCCCCACAGAGACCAGGTTCTGGGATTGATGCCCGCCTCTACCCCTTACTAATAGTGGAATTGTTTTCAAGTCAAATTACCTCTCTGAGCCTCTGGAGCATAGGCTGCTAAATCACAACGGTATTATCCATGTAAAGCATTTGTCATGAACAATAAATGACATAGTCTGGGAACAGTAAATTACCATTACCATGCAAATAATTTTTTTATGGAGAGATACCAGGGCTCCTGTGAGAGTGAATCATAAGAGGAACAAAACACAGTTATGTGGTAGAATATTTTACCCAAGTTAGAAAAGTGGTATTTTCCTGTAGCAGAAGATGACATGGCAGAAGGGGAGACCAGAGGTGACTGGTTGCCAGTATCCTGCAGCCCTCCAGTGGAATGAGAACGCAGCCACTCTTTGCCTTCTTCTTGGTTGGCCTGCCGAGATGATGGGGTATATCTGCAAAACAGCACAGCTAAGATACTTCAGCACATCTACAAGGGCAAGGCAATATCAGGACAGGAAAACAATTGAGAGGAGCTTACTATTCAGACTGAACAACGATCTCAAACAGATTGGATCTAATTAGAATTGCTCAGTTCTTCCAGATGATTTGACACCATCTGTTTGAATCCCACAGGAAAAAAAATAAAGGCATTTGAGAAGAAAATTATGCTTCTGTGAGATATGAAGTTGAAAATCAATGAGCAGACAGCCAAGTTAACTGAGGAGAACCCAAAAGCGCAGTGCTTAGAAGGATGTGAGAGGGTGAAGACACACACTAAAAATGGTGGACAGTGGTAGGCAGAAGCAAGGGAAGGGAAGTGATGGTCACAGAAAGGCATGAAATGGGACACAAACTAATGCCCATTTTTTTTAAAGGAGTAGTAGTTATTTGGTTAAAATGCCACTTGATATCATGTCTGGATTAAAAAGGAAGGAAAGAAATGTGCTCACTTTATTGGAAAATAAATTTCTAGAACATAATATTGAAATACGATATTGTCAGGCATTTGCTATTGCTAACAAATTTGAGAGAAAAAACATAATGGGGAAGACCTAGTTTGGCCAGTACTCACTGTTTCACCAGAGTAATTAAATTCTTAGCACCAAAGAACAATCGATTTATCCTGCTCATAGTTCTACACCTCCACTACTAGTTTATTCTATGTCTCCTCCTCAGGAAACGGTATGCAGTAAAATATGGCAATGAATTAAAATTTCACTTTAGTTTTTATTATGAACTRAATAATAATTTTGAGATTCTTAAATTGTATTGAATTAATTCAGATTTAAATGTATCTGAACCTGGGAAAAATAGAAATTAAGACTTTTGAGGTTTTATCCAAAAATCGATACCTTCATTGTAGTACTTGTCCTATGATGATGAAAATACATTTTCTTTGATTCAAATTACAGCATCCTTCAACCTTTCATCATTACTGGCCACATGTGCAGACTAGATGGGTTTTGAGGTTTTGCAAGCATATGCCTCCAAGATGTAGAAGTTAGGAAAGTCATTTTATAAATATTTGGAGGAGTTAAGTTCTGCATTCTATAAAAGTTGCTGCCCACCAAAACCAAGGCTTGGGACAAGTGCTTTGAGAACTCTTATTACTTCAAAATAGTGGTAATTATACTAAAATTACTTTGAGGTACCATCTCAATCTCTACTAGTATCTCTTCCTAAGGGCCATCTGATCAACTCTCTGGACCAGAGAAAAGATTGAGATTACAAGTGATTTCACCCTCAATGTCAGGTGCTACATTGCAAACAAAGAAATAGAGAGGAAGAGAGACAGCACACAAAGTTAACATAACAACAGAAAAAGGAAGCAATTGTGCTGAGATAAATATATACCTTAGTCCCTTTTTGGGTAGTGTATTTCTGTCAAGCTGCATGCTGTTAAAACAAAGAAAACCCCTAAGGACATAATGTAAACAAAACTTCCAAATTATACAACCAACAAAAAATGATTCTCCAAACTACACAAAATAACTGGTAACACATATATATAAAAGTTTAACTCACTGAAAAAGGCCAACAGAGGGTGACAAAATGTCTACTGCTTCCAATGTTCCTTTCCAATCCCATACCATCAATGGTAACATAGTGACAGGATTATTAGTAGATTGAATCATATGTTAGCATAATTGCCCTCTCGACTGTATTTACCTAACGCTGTGGTAGTTTTCTCTTTCCTTTGCAACTAACTAGACTTTTGCTATGACTCTCCTGCAGGGGAACTGTAGAGATGGCAATGAGATAGATGTGCCTGAAGTTAAAGTGACAAGTTCCAGTGGTCAGAGAGGATGAAAAAAGCACCACTTAAAATCATCTTTTGTCTTCACATTATTTTTAATAAAAGCAGAGGTATTAAGTATTTCCCATTTACATATAAGATAAAAAGACTAATAATGAGCATTTCCTTAAAACAATGTTTCTGATATTATGTATTTAAATATTTTAATGAAATTAAGCATTACTACTTTTTAGAAATCATCAATTGAGTATTTAAAGAACTATAAAATTTATCATCTCTTTTTAAAAGTATTTTCAACTGGTCATAGGAGGGGATGAAAAGATGTGCCTAGATTAAATGAGAAATGGCCTGTGAAAACAGAGGAAAAGAGGGTGTCAACAACAAAGTGGGACAAGTCTAAGGATTCTGCTATCATCTCTGGCATGGACAGCAGAGAGAAAAATTAATTGAATTTTCAGAATTATAGCTCTTTCTTTTAAATCYTCAAATGATCAAAATTAAATACATAGAATATGCATAATGGGGATGACAAAACATGAATGAAAAGACATTTACTTAATCACTCAAAATCAAAGCTAAAATGTTTTCTTCAATGTATACTCCATTAGCATTGTCACAGATAGCATCTGAAGGCTTCACACAACTTTAACATTATTTATTGGGAATGTCCACTTATGGTAATTACTACACTATGCAGAGGACTGTTTCAGGATATATCTTGACTATAGACATTTTCTTAGTAGTGTGAATAAACAAACAAAAAAATCATATTGAACAAATATGAGAAATCTCCAAATATGAACTATATTATGCTAACGTATTTATGTGGTCATAAGCCATTTTAAAGATCATCTATTTCATGTGTGCAAATTAAATTTTAATGCTCCAGGGAAGATTTAAAAATAGATATTCTTTGACAATGTGAAACAGTTGTATAAAAATTATGTGTATATATCACAAGGCAATTTAATTAAAAAAATCAGAAAATAATTTAAATTTATCAAAGTAATTTAAAGCTTTAGGTAGAATGYTCCATTCAAATMTGGATGTTACAGATTTTATTATGTAGACTTTCTGTAAACCCTCAATGGTTGCCAATTAATATGCCAGCAAGGGCCAGGTAAGGAATTGCAATGAGTAAAGTAGGGGTTGYATCAAGCTAGTTTGCCTAAAGTCCATAGTTGTGCAGAAAGACTAGAGCATGGTTGTCAGATTTGACATTCAATAATGAGCCAGAAATTTGCATAGTTGGTTACTGTTTTAAATTATTTAGAGTTTGATTAGGTCTAAAAAAATACAAAAAACAAATGGAACTATTATGGCACAAAGGCTACCAGTGATCTAGAACTGCTACAGAGGGAAAGTTATTACAAAAATTGTGTTTTATTGTTCATTTATTTATTATTTATTTATTTCACCAATTTTAAGGAAGAGGAATTTAAACTAAAATTAAAATCTATATGAAAACCCACTGACTTAATATAAATATAGGATATGAAAATCAAACTATTGTCATAAACTTACAGATCTCTCTATTATATATCTCTAATTAATTTCCTTTAATATTTATAYTTTAACACACTTTCTGTCAAATATGGCTCTATTATTTCCTTAGCATTCTCTACATACTGCTGTCCAATTAAGTCAGAACCACTAATTGCATCCAATTTCCTCTCCATAGATCAAAAACTTCCTTACATGTATTTTAAAGGGTTAAACTGTGATTGCTTGCAGTTTTGTTCCTAAGAAAATGCAGAATGTTTTATATCAAAAAATTATTTCCATCCATTAATTTGCTGGGACTAATTAATATCTCTTATATACTATACCTATGAAGGTATTAACATTTATTTTATGTGGCTTAATGTCGGTGAATGCATTTTTAAGACTCAAAGGTAAAGCATTCATTTATTAAAAATTGGTTCACAGTGTATTTTGGAAAAAAGTCTTTATTTGGTTTGCTTAATATTATGGAATTTCCATTTGTAAAACTGGCCTATTTCCAAGATTAATCAACCATTAWAAAAGATTTGCTTAAAATGAATAAGTAACTACATATATGTATATTTCTATAGTGAAACTTCATATTGAGCTCAGCTAAAATATAGATCAGACTAAAATGTCAAAACTGTATTTCACTTATAGCTATAAAACTCATCAATCTTAACATGTGATTTTGATTTGAGGGTTACTGGGTTACAATTAATTATTTGACTATATTTTTTTGTGTTTAACATCTGAATGCTGAGGAAGGAGGTTGATGGCCAACTTGCTGCAGCTACCTTSATGATTTAAAAATAATCTGTTTTTTGGAGGGTAGTTCTGGCTAATAAATAATATCCTATTTGTAGTATGCTTGATCTGGATGTCAACTTGCTATTTGGATTCCCTACATCTGACTTATAACCTATGATACATTCATTAAAATTGGCTATGAATATTTATAATTTGACTTAATTTTTAGAAGTTTTATAAATGAYCTGTTAAGATGCCCATTTACCTTAGAAGTTCTGAAACTAGAATCTGCAATGTTTTTGGAAGCCTAACTTCTTTGATGAAAAAATCAAACACTGGTTGTATATGCTGTTTACAGTAGCAAAACCAAAGGAAAATGTATCAAAAATTTTCAATGACCAGAGTGTTACCCAAATAGTACATTAACACATGTGGCCAAGACTATTTGTGAAAGCTTTATGTGTGCCAAGAAACAAGTAGGGGGAAAAGTGGCAGTTTTAAGAATTTTTTAAAGAAATTTTCCCAGGAGTAAGAGTCATTATCAATTATTTTAGGATTTTGGGGGGTGGTCAGTAGGATTCTAGAATCATTTTGTTCAACACTGACACCTTCTGGTAAGTGTATTAGTCAGAGATGCTGTGTTATATTCTCTATTTTAAGTTAGAAATTATTAAACCAATGGAAATACTTGGATGATGATCAATTTTTAAGAGCCTTATTCACAAATGGCCCTGTATATAATTTTCTTTAAGAATTCAGGGCTGACAACTGACTTTTTTCCCCTCCAATTCCTAGGATTCCCCAGTGATCAGTTTGCTATTTTTTTCATGTAGAAGCACAAATAAAACCAATTTAACATATTGCTTAGAGCATGATTATAGAATTCATTTAAATTTGGTCTTTAAAAATGTTTARATTATCATAAGGAGCTTATGTTATCATGGAGCTCAAGCCAAATCATTAAAATGTCTTGAGAAGACATCGCTCAATATAAAAATACATGCTTTAAATGTTCACATTGCCTGCTGGCTATAAATGTACGCATTCATATTGAGAAACTTAATTATCTAGCCACCCTACCCTTAATGGTGTTATTTCTCTACAAATTTGGTATAAAAGAAAAGGCTAAGTCTCATCAATATTATGTCTTTCAATCTCRTATTGCTTTGCACAAACGTCACTCACATGGGGAGTTAGGCACGGTGCAGGGAGAAAGGGGTGAGACTTCAGCAATGCTTTCAGGAAAGCTCACCTTTCTGAGAGAGTAGATCTCACACTACCCGTTCTCATGAGCAGGCTCTGAACCTCGTGAGTGCCTGTGGTCAGTCCAGACAGGGAGCCATGATGGCTGAGGGGCAGGTCAATGGACTCAGAGCTCGTATGGAGGCTAGTCATGGACTGGTAACTCGGAGTGTCCTTGCTGCCGGCAGAGGAACTGCTCATATTGGCAGCCCACACAAGACCACCTGACGTGAAAGAGTGAACCGATGCTGGACTGGAGGCCAAGGAGTGACTTAAGCTTATAACATCTGTAGTTAAGTCTGAGGGTTTATTGAAGAGTGGGCTGCTGCTGCCACTTAGCCCTCCAGCACTGCCCATGCTGCCCGTACCAGACGACGGTGATTCCAGACTGCCTTGTCGCGCTAATGTGGTACTAGGGCTGGGCATTACTGAGGAGGATTTCACACCCTCCGTATTAGGTGCAGAGGCAGATTTGCCACCTGCCTTGGCACCAAACAACCTAAAAGAAAAACAAATAACAACTTCAGTTGTTCCAAGAAACTAATATCCACATTTAATATTTAGGGTTACAGTGCACAAGAGCCAAGTGTGCTGTGGTGTACTGAGCTACCAAGCACATCTTGTCTCTATGTTAAAGAACTTTATAGGCTTGGTTGTTTTATTAATTGAGTGCTCAAAATCTCTCATATCCTCATGGTGAGGGTTAAGTCAGCTCTGGGCTGCTACCTGGGGCAAGGAGGAAGCAGGCAAAACAAAGACCAAGCATGAAAGTTCTGGGCTTTCACAATTTAAGCGATCATAAGAATCTTTCATGCAAGTATTCTGATCATTCTTGAGGTTACCTATTTACAGAACCATTATAATGAAACAACTTCTACGCATTCGATATAGAACACTTAAATGATTTTTTTCCTTTTTTCTTTTTGATAGTTTATTCATATCTAAAAGGAATGCTTAAGGCAAAGTCTAGGAAGTTGCATTGAATATCTGGTGGCCTGGGTGTCTATTCAGGGAGTAGTTGGTCAGAAACGATATTGGACATTGTTGGCAACGTGTGAGTTTGTCCACATTTTCCCCTGGAAAGGCCAAAGGGTTTCATGTCAATTGCCAGGGCTCTTCAAATGCATATTTATAATAGACGTGAAACACAGTTGGTGCTAAGTTAAATATTGGAGTTTAGTTTAGAAAACATTTTAGTTTTGTAAATGAAGCAGATGATATAATCAAATTTATGTAAATATGGAAATAAAGTGATATGAAGTAATGGCATAATGATTACAGATTAAGTTGCAATGAAATCCATATTTTCTACAGTGAAATATTTTATGACGAATATGAGAAATTGTTTCATAGGTAATGGACCACAGGAGGGCACTATTTGCTTTTCCTTAAGCAATGCAAATATTTACTCTTGCTATAAGCTGTAATTTATTCTTTCCAATGAGGATCAACCTTTCAAAATGCCAGTTCTTCAGGATTAATATTTATATTGAGAATTGAACTTTCTAGAATTAAAAAAAATCAAAGATTGCTAAATGTTTTAAGACCAATTATTTCCAAAATATCAAAGACCTTGGTTTAGTTAGCAGAATAAAAGCAACATTAAAAGTATTGAGGTAATGAACTGTAAGTCATGCTCTATAATTTCACAGATGAGAAAACAGACCCAGATAGGTATAACTTATTTGTTTCAAGTTTTTAACTATATTTATTTTCCTGCCACTTAGGTTATTTAGAAACAGTTATATTTCTGAGAACTTCACCTATTTGATACCAAAGATCATACTGTTGCAGAAACCAATCATGTGCTTACCAGAGTCCTGACAAAGAAAGCTGATGAAGAGCTAGAAAATAGCCTGCCATCCTACATCAAAATTCCAACTGTTTTCAAACCTTGCCAATCATATCATACCTTAATTTTCTTTAGTATGTCAAGATATGGTACTGTATGAATTTGCCCTATGTAATCTAAGAACACAGCATCATCTATATTATGACCATTGACTCATTAAGAACCAGCCATATCACAAAACATTGGAAGTCAATGCTGATAGTCATAAAGACTGACTGCTTTGATTGATGAAAATCTACTTAAATTTTACAAGCTATTACTTTGTTCTAATCACTTTCCCTGAGTATTGCCATCTGATTCCAATTCTCTTACATATGCTGTTTGTATTGCTAATACCACAATGATAATGCAATTGCAAAGTTTGACCATTTCTCAAAAGGAGCACCACTTTTTTGCTACCTATGTATACAATCAGATTCTTAGAACTCTTTGCATTTTACAAGATTCTAAGATATATGCATCTTAGAAAATGTGTATTTGGGATATATATATATATACACACACACACACACATATATAAATGTTTGTATATAGTATATGTATGTGACATGTACATCCTATACTTTTTATGCATCATTTTATATATCCTTACCTTCGAAATGTAGGTGAAGCAATATCTGGATACTTGGATCCTGGCTGCCTGAGCCCTTGAGTGCCACAGGCACTGGCAGAGGTGGGGCTGGATTTAGGGGAACCTGACAAAGAAACACTCTCTGAATCTGAGACTGCTACTTTTTCTTTCTCCTTGTCTGTTTGGTTGACAGTGACAGGGCTTGAGCGCCCCGACCCAATCTTAGTTGGTTCTCTTAGTTTTGAGGTGGTGGCACCAGCTGACTTGCTGCTGACATTGGAGTCAATACTGCTGGTACTGGACCTGTGGCCACCTCGTCCAGGAATACCACTGGTGCTGGACTTTGAAGGGCGAGGCAAGCTGCGGTACTGTAGGGTGGTCTTGGAGCTCACATGCAGCACAACGTCATCTTGATTCTGTGAACCATCCAAACTGGTTTTTCTCCCTGCATTTGACTTCCCACCAATGGCGGCTGATTTGGGGATTTTGCCCAGTGTTGCCGAGCCGCTTGTTATAGTCGCTCCGCTGCTAGTGATCATAGTAGAAGACCCTACTCCACTTGGTTTCTTAAATCCAAATGAGCTGGTGGCAGTGGATCTTCCAATGCCTGAGGGGGGCTTTTTCCCCTCATCTCCACTGCTTTTCCCTGCATCTGAAGGAGACCTTTGTAGGGAGGATCCTTTCAGGGGAGTTTTCCCTTTCTCAGAAGCTTTGGCATCATCGGTTTTCCCTAATTAATGAGAAATACACAAATATGGGTCTGCATATTTTGGTGTCATGTCTCTTTCTAAAGTAATGTATAAAATGCGAATGTTTCTTTATATTACTTCAGCTCCTAAATGTGAACTGTTTCAGATCTTGGCGTACAATCTAACGTATTGGGAGGACTGAGTGTGTAAGCACAAAAATTTTTTTAGCTGTCAGAGGAAATTTGATCAGAGGTGGAGGAGATAAAATGAAAACAAGTACTTATGCTATCTGTTAATATCTCATGTCTTGCAATTCTCATGCTTTAAAAGGATAACACTTTACCTGATCAAGCAAAATATTAGAAAAAGAAAATATAATACATTGAAATGATTATATTTGGATGACCTGTAACATCCATACTTCAGGTGGCACTGTTTAATAAAAGTTTAATAAAAGTTAAATAACTGCTTAAAAAAAGTTAAGGGGGACAGAGAGTTAAAAAAAAATAAAGAAGGAAAAGGTGCGTTCTTTCAGAATTCTTTTACTCTTTTCTTTTAAAAAGTCTAATCCCAAACAGAATCTTAAATATCCAGCATCCTAACCCATTAAATTAGTGTGACTGCTTATGTCCCTCAGAGTTTGTGATGAAGCTTAGTGGCATAACTAACATAAATATTATAAATTTTCCTAATGAAGTTTGAACAGATGGAGGTGCACTGTTGATTCAGTAGCCTTATTCTATTTCTCCATGGCCATAAATGATCACAACACACTAAGACACTCCAGATATCCAAACTGTGAGGGAGGTCTCTAAAGCATGCCTAGATGGTCATATTCATGTGGCCTTAGATGAAAAAAGTGTGTGAAATTTAGTTAAAATGTTATTTAAGTATATGGAGAAGAATCTGATTTTAAAAGAGAGCTGTTTTTAAAGAAAATAAAACTGAATTAAAACAATAAATTAAAGCACTTTTATGAAACAGCTGCCGAGTGCCAGGCCTACCAGGAGTCTTGAGTGCACTTGTCCCAGCTTTCTGTCTGGCGGGAGTCCCTCCCTGGGCGGATGTGCCTCTCCTCCAGGAACCCGTTTGAGAAACAGACAGGGAAGCTTTCTGGCCGGTCTTCTCGGGGTCCTCAGGGAGTCCCGAGGAGCTACTCTTCCACTTGCTACCTCCATCGCCATGACTGTCAAAATCCTCTTCTATTTTTTTCAGCTCCTCGGGACTGTCCCAGGTCTCATCTGCTGCGGAACGTTTCTCCGAATCCGTCTTCAGCTGTGAAGAAAAATACTTCAGAAAAACTCTATGCAGAAAAATCTATAAAGTGAATTAGGCACTGGAATGCTCTCCCAGATAACTGGTTTAAAAAAAAAAAAAAAAGCTGCAATGATTTATACGTCTTCAAAAGGATTCCTGAGACGATTCTATTTTTATCTATGTCTTCATTTAGGTTTCATTAATTTTAGCCACATAATTCTCACTTGCACAGATTAGAGAATGTCAGGATAAATATGTGCAGAAAAACCTAATTAAACACTCCAGAAAGGAAGGAATTTTCTGTGTCAAATGTAACAAGGGAAGGTAAGACAAGATAAAACTTAATCATTTAATGTCCATTCTTGACTTGCCATTAGTACATGAGAACTAGTAATTCATTTCAGGGATCAAAATAAAATTAATCAAGCACTATCCAAAGGTTGGCTGTTTGGAACAAATATATCAATATTAATAGGAAACACATGACAACATAGGTCTTTCTAGGTTAAATGGTAAAAATAAGAAATACATATATGTCAGCTACTTTCTATGATCAAAATGAGGCTGAGGTGCACATTGTTGCAAATCCTAAGGCTGTAGCTCTAGCAAAGACTAAGATAAAGACACTTTGGGGACCAGGGAAGCAAAATGAATCCTTCTCAGCTCTGGCTTAATCAGTTAATGCAATTATTTCAGGGTAGGAGGCTGTGTTAGGACTTAGTCTAATGCAAAATAATTTGGGGGAAGAAAGTAGCAGAAGCAGTAGTGGTAAAAGAAAGAGGGTGACTCCTACCTGAGTGTTCTTTCTGGAAGGGACAGTGATGTTGGAATAAGAACTGACTGAAGACGTGGTGTTCAGGTCATCAGTGCTGATGTTATCGAGGGTGTCACTCAGGCCACTGCTCACAGAACTGCTATCATCCCAGCTAAAAGCAAGACATACAGTAGTAATGAGTTCAACCCAGGACACACAGTGCAAGTCATTACATTTTCATAATACGTTGATCAGGCATTAGGAAGGCAATCTTTTTTTTTTWAATCTTACGTTGAAATATTACTTATTTCCCACTTTGGGAAAATCATGGAAATTGAGTGCCTACCTGTGAAAAATCTTATCTGAAATTTAGAAAGAACCAGTGTCTACAGTAGATCCAAGTTCCAGGGGAACTTGTGGAATTAATGAAAATACTGATACAAGTATTGCACAATATCAGGAAAGAATAATATTCAACTGGCTTTTCTTTTTCTCCCTAAAAAAACAACCAGAAATTATAAAACATGATTCATTCAACCTTTGTTGTAAAATTAAAAAAAAAACAACCCTGTGTTTTAGTCACAAACCAGAAGGTCATTTTCATTCTTTTTTCCTACCCTAGTATCTCCTTCTAATCATTCACCAACCCTTAAATATTGAGATTCATTCAATCATATCGTCATCAGTCAGAATTCTGACTGATATACAATATCCTCCTTTCTAACTTTCATGCTTTTGGTCTTTTCTAGTACAACCTCACCTGCTAAATCTGGGACAGTGATTAAAAATTCACATCTGGCCATGACACTACCCTGCTATTCTCTCAAAATCTCTCCTTTCCCAAGCCCTAGATTCTAAAATAAAATATATTTGCTTCACAGGGTGCATGACAAAATCCACTTTCAGTATAAGAGAAATATCTCGAATTCTGAACCTATTTTTTTCATCTAAACAAGAATTATCTGGGCTATATTAATACTCCTGTGCAGGCTAACAGACTCCTTCACTTAATCAATGTGTTAGATGGTGCAGAAATAATATAGGATGAGCAGAGTCACCTGAAGGAGAGTGGGAACTCTGCTCTGCCAGGGGGTGAAACATAGTCCCTTTGTTTACTGACTGGCTCTCAATCAATTATGAAATATTATCACTTATCTGTGCTATGTTAAATGAATCTTTGCATATTAGACTCAGAAATAATATTAAAGGAAAAGATAGTCTCATGAAATGGACAGGTTGCTTTAGATATCCTGTGAATAATCCAACACTGAAGAGTGTACTCATAAGGAAAGCATGAGCAAAACCCCAAAAGAGTGATGAATGTATTTTGAGCTACATGATAAGTTAAAAATAATAGTGATGTATTCAGATCACACATGATACTGCCCAAAAAACTAATTATCAAGAAAAAATGAATTTATAGAACTATCACTAATGATGATCCTTCCTTGGGTATGTATTTTTCTTGAGATTTTATAACACCTCATGATTGCTAAAATATTTATAAATAAATGAGATTATTATCAATAACAATTATTTTTCAATGTCAGCAAAAATGTATTTTCTATCACTATAGCAAATATCTGTCATCTGTGGAATACCTTCTGTATATTTTATTTTGATAGTTTCTCACATCAGGAGCCATAAGATCCCAAACTTCCAGACTCCTGACAGACAGCAGCATAGGTTCTATCCACCATTTATGCCCACAGAATCACAAAGGAGAAAAACCATATTTAGTGAACAAGGTAGCAGAATTGTTTTGAGTCTTTTCCATCAGCTAGAAGAGTCATTCAGTTCTTCCCCATTAGCACTGGCAGATATCTGGCCTCTTATTCTAAGAGTCAGAGGTACCGTACCACGGGTAGCAGAGTCAAGGTGTATGGTTTTCTAAGAGCCCAGTTCTCCAATCAGCCCCCAAATCCAAAGAGCCTTCTAACATGATGTAGTTCCAAAGCAAATTCTGTATTTTGCAATTAAGAACCTCAATCAATATACTCATAATTCTTTTTTTTAAAGAGAGGGTGAGAGAGGAGAGAGAGAGAGAGAGAGAGAGAGAGAGAGAGAGAGAGAGAGAGAGAATTTTTTAATATTTATTTTTTAGTTCTCCGCGGACACAACATCTTTGTTGGTATGTGGTGCTGAGGATCGAACCTGGGCCGCACGCATGCCAGGCGAGCGCACTACCGCTTGAGCCACATCCCCAGCCCCTATAATTCTTAAAATATCATTCATTTATTTATTATATATATTTTTTATGTTTTTATGTATTAAGTAATTCACATAATACCTTCTCACAGGAATATGTGTATATCAATTATAAAAACATAAATATGCACTTTGATAACCACTAATATAAAATAAAACTCAGGCTCATTAACAAGAAAGATATCAAGTTAATGAGAAGATAAGCCACAGACTGGAAGAAATATTTACAAAATACATATTTAATAAAGTACTGCTACTCAAAAGACATAAAGAGTCTCAAAAACTCAACAATACAAACAAGTCAATTAAAATGGGCCAAAACTTAACAGACACCTCAGTTCAAATGATACACAGATGTGTATGATCATATGAGAATATGAGGAGATACTAAAGACTGTGTCATTAGGAAATGCAAATTAAAACAATAGTTACCTACACACCTTGGATGGTGAAAATACAGAAAATGATGGCCAAATGCTGATGAGGATGTGAAATACTGAAACCCTTATTCATTGGCAGGAAGAAAAAAGACATTTTGATAGTTTCTTATAAACATAAAAATATCTACACTGTATGATCCAGCAACTACATTCTTTAGTATTTCAAATGAGATAAAAATTCACTTCCACACAAAACCTGAACACAGACATTTATAGTAGTTTTATTCACAATTGCCAAAACTTGTAAGCAACCAGGAGGTCCTTCATTAGACAACTGGAAGATGGAATATTATTCAGCATTCAAAAGAAATCATGTATCCAAATACAAAAAGACAACAGAGGAAACTTAAATGCATGTTACTAAGTGAAGTAAGCCAATCTGAAAAGGCTACATACTATACTTCTAAACATAAAATATTCTGGAAAGAAAGCAGAGGCGCAGGGGCTGACGGGTTGGGAGAGAAGGATAAAGAGGTGAAATATGAAAGATTTGTAAGGTAACAAGACTATTCTGTGTTATACCAAAATGGCTGATACATATCCATACATGTTTTCCCAAATTCATAGGACATACAGTATCTAGAGCAAACACTAGTGTAAACTTTTGAATTTGGGTAATAAGGATGTGTTCATGAAGGTTCACTGATTATAACAAACATATCACTGTGGTGGAAGATGTTATTGGGAAAGGCCCTGAGGCATGGGGGTAAGGGGTACATAGAAAATTTCTTAACTGACTGCTCAAACTTAATAAAAGATTAAGACTAAGGAAGGAAGGGAGGGAGGGAGGGAGGGAAGAGGGAAAGAGGGAAAGAGGGAAAGAGGGAAAGAGGGAAAGAGGGAGGGCGAGAGGGACAAGTCTTTGTCCAAACAGGGCTTTCCATGTGGCCTCAGTCTGCTTCTTTAGCTTAGATTTTACATCCTCTGTCTTGTGTTCTGCACTAGAACTTGGGACTGTGTGTGCTTCCAATCACTTCTGCTTTGAGCATCTGTCCCCGCTCTCTGACCAAGTTGCACTTGGCTGCATGCCTCAGTTCAGGGGCTTGTCTTCTAGGAAGATGCTTACTCTCTATTCTCAGGAAGACTTAGGTACCTCTTCTATACTGTCATGACACACATATGTACCTCTTGGACTGGATTTAGCATACTGTTTTGTAAAAAAAAAAGTGGATCATTAACCAATATGTTTCCTAAGCTCAAAATTATGAGTGTTTTTTTCTTTGAATCACTACTGTGAGGGAAATGCATAACATTTCAGTGTTGAATAAAAGTCTTGAATTTTGTTGAGATTAAGCGAAAGGCAATTACTGAGGTAATCTCTCATACTTAACACGAGTTTTTAAGAATTATCTACCATCCTATGTTCTATATCCAAAGAGTGAAATTAAACAGAAATGTAAAATTTTAATGAGCATTTTTAGGTGACTATTTCTCTGGTAGAAAGCTAGACATCAAATTTTCTACTAATAGCTTTTTACTGATATAAATCCTGCATCTAATATAAAGTTAAATGCTATAACTACTACTGTAATCATAGCATGTCCTTTTGTATTTGCTTAAAAACCATTTAATGTCTCAAATGAACACAATGTACCTTTGTGGTTAAAATTACATACATGAATGATTCCAAAATGAGTCAAAATTTTTCACTCAATAGAAAACTAAAACATAATTATCTAACAAACATAATAAAAGAACAAATTTCAAATTTAGTTTGTTGTCATTGAATAAAACCAATGGATTCATGGGGTTAAGGTCTTGTATTTGACCTTTTCAGAGTTACACGACTAATATGTTTACTGCATTACACAGTTCTGACTTTCCCATCTCAGTGTTTTGTGGAATGTAAATGAATCATTTCCATGAACCACTTTATACTATCTTACATTCTTCTAGCTCCTCAAACTGCTTTCCCTCTAAGATCTCAAACTCCAAAATCTCACTTTTTGGCAATACTCTTCTATGTTTTCAGCACTCTAAAACTACTGTGTTCTACTTTTTGTGTCCAGTTTTATTTTTTCTTTTAACTCCACTCATCCCTTACCAAATGATGAGGGATTCTAAGATGTTGAAACCAAAAGATAGCCTGAGTGAAGGCTTAATAAGTACTCTATTAATAGTTCTCCTTCCTCCCTAATAGTCTTTTATATAAATCTTAATCCTGTGTTAATTCAAATGTATGTTTTACTCATTCATATTGTCTTAGTCCTTTTCTTTTTCTATAACAAAATTCTTTTACAAAGAAAAAGGGTTGTGGCTTGGGAGGCTGAGGCAGGAGGATCACAAGTTCAAAGCCAGCCTCAGCAATGGTGAGATGCTAATCAACTCAGTGGGACCCTGTCTCTAAATAAAATACAAAATAGGGCTAGAGATAGGGCTCAGTGGTTGAGTGCCCATGAGTTCAATCCCAAGTGAAAGAAAGAAAGGAAGGAAGGAAGGAAGAAAGAAAGAAAGAAAGAAAGAAAGAAAGAAAGAAAGAAAGAAAGAAAGAAAGAAAGAAAGAAAAGAAGAAAGAAAGAAAGAA